TTGGACTTCTAGCCTCCAGAACTATGAGAAAAGAAATACCTATTGTTTAAGTCACTCATTCTGTGGCATTTTGTTACAGCATCCCAGCAGACGAACACAAGGTACTCACAGGTGACACTGTGCAGCTCCTTGGGGCTCACCAAGGAACCTCTGACATTGCAGTGAAGGCTACAGGAGGGCTCACATCCCCACAAGTCAAGCCAGATGAGGCATAAAGGAAGACCTGAGCAAAATGTCCTGGGAGCACCAACGTAGCCACAATTCTTTCCATCTGGGGATCAGGGAAGGGTGAAGAGGAGGTAGTATCTGAGCTGGACCTTCAAAGATGGGCAAAATTCCGATCATGGGGGAGGGGGAGGGCAGCAATCCAGGGAACAGGGCTTGATGAGTACAAACCAGGCTCATGTGGCACCAGTGATCCCTATGAGAATAACCCCGGTGGTCAGCCACCAGGTGGGCTTGGCTAGTGGTTTACAAACCTGACTAACCATCAGAACCATCTGGGAAGCTTTTTAAAAAAATACATAGAACCTCAGGCTCCACTCCCAACCTGCTCAATCAGGAGTTTCAGGGACAATGTCCTGCAATCTTCATTTTAACCAGTGTCTCGGGTGAGACAATATCAGCTTCATCAAGTTTAAACACATCTTTTTAATCAAAACATTTCACTGACCCTCCTCCCCAACCCTCCACCGTAATGGCTATCTTTCTGTCAAATGAGAAAATACACAATAACAGAAACAACTATGAGTTTAGTAACGATTTCAAGTGAATTTGTATTTTATTAATTAGAACCAAATTCACAGGTTTAAAACTGGGAAGTATACATATAAACCATTATTTATTCAACTTGCAGATAATGCAAGGTTACATATATGGCGTCCAACTGCTTTCTTAACCATGTTACCATCCTGATGCTAAAGCCCATCCAGAGTCCTGGACCAGGAACTGTGGATCCACCGACACTTCCTACGCTGAACTATTCTACAGATCAGTAAAGTATGAGAAGTTTTCATCACAGACCCCACAAATGAGGGAGACTAGGAAATATGAGAAAGGCAGAAATAGAGGTCATTGTCACACCTCACACTCAAATAGAGGTTGCTGTGTCATTGTGATGGCCGAGCACCGTGGGACAAAGGGGCAGCAGAGATTTTCTTCCCAGCTAAGACCTAGGGCCAAGGTGTTGGGAGGAGGGAAAGAGAAGGATCGTCTCTGACTGTTTCTTTCTCTCCCATTTTAACTCATCCCTCTGAGAACATGGCCATGTTTTGCTTTTTTGTCTGTTTAAATCCTCTGTGACTCAAAAGTCTCCTTTCTGGAGTGAGGCAAGTCATTCCTACTTGTTAGGGTGAGAATTAGTTGAGGTCATTTAGACAAAGTACGAAACTCAGAATTAGATCCCATACTACCCACACCCCACCCTACCACATACATGTAAACTCTTTCACATGGTTTTTGAAGCTGGGCCTTTCAGTCAGCCCTTCCTCGACTCCGGAGTCAGCTGAAGCTGGAGGCTGACCTCTCAAAGATCTGTTTCAATCAAATGTTTACACTAATGAGGACTTCCCTTCATAACTCAGCAGCCAACAATCCTGATCCCCAGGTGAGCCATCTGCCCGAACCAGTCACAGTTTTCCCCAGTGTGAACAGTGGTAGGCTGCTGTTCTTTCCACTGGTTTTCCTCCTCTAGCCTTGAATGGACTTTCTCCAGGAAATCTCCAGACTCCCATATAAGCTATTCATTTGGCTTTCCTTGATACCTCTGCTATATCCCATTCATCCATCCATCCATCCATTCATCCATCCATCCATCCACTCATTAATCTAATAGTGAAAGAAGAACACCCCAGGACTTCTTTTAGACTTGAGTAAGGTCTCTGCTCTCCTGGAGCTGCCACTTTACTGGGGAAGACAATGAAAATTCAATATGCAACATGTCAGTTGTGGATAAAAGAAAAAATAAAACAGGGTAAGAAAACAAAGAAAAATATTTTTATGTAAGTAGGATAATCAGGAAGACCTCACTGAGGTGGTGTTTGAGTAGAGACATGAAGAAATGAGAGTGTGGGCCAGCAGGGCATCGGAAAGAGAGTCCCAGGCAGCATCTTTCTTCCATAATGGCAGGGGTCTTGTGTTATCCAGTTTCTCCACCACTGTTGTGAAGTGAATTGTGTCCCTTCAATAAAGATGTTGGAATTCTAACCCCTAGTACATCAGAATGTGACTTTATTTGGAGACAGGGTCTTTACAGAAGTAATCAAGTTAAAATGAAGTCATTAGGATGGGCTCTAATCCAATATGACTAGTATCCTTACAAAAAAAAAAAAGAGGAAATTTGGACACAGAGATACACACACACAGGGAAAAATGCCACGTGAAGATAAAGGCAGAGATTGGGGTGATGCATATATCAGCCAAGGAACACCAAAGATGACCGGCAAACCATCAAACCTAGGAGAGAGTCATGGAACAAATTTTCACTCACAGCCTTCAGAACCAACCCTGCCAACACCTTAATCTTGGTTTTCTAGCCTCCAGAACTGTGAAAATAAATTTCTAGGTACTTTGTTATGGAAACCCTAGGGAACTAACAGAACCATCAAGCAGTATGAAGGTCATACGTAGACAACCGCTTTATGCCTGTTCACAGGATAAACTCCTGGATGACTATAACTGCCCCCTAACTGGACTCGGTTTCCAGTCCTACTTTCTCAATTTGTTCTCCACAGTATTTTCCTGATCTCTCTAAAACAAAAGTTTGATCATCGCCCTGGTTCACAAGCTTTCACCTGTTCTTCATTATCTTCAGATTTAATCCAAATTTCTCAATTGAAGACCAAAGCCCACAGGATCCAGTCCCGTTTACTTCTCCAAACTTGTTTCTCTCATCTCTGCCCCTTCTTGGGGGGGCCTCAATTCTACTCATCCTCAGGCCTTGACTTACTTCCTGGGAAGCCTTCCCAAGGCCCTGAAGACCAGGTTAGGTGTCCTGCCCATGTCCTCCCAGCAGTTCTTGTATTGAATGCTGTTGTGGCATTTACCACAGTGTGTCCAAGGCCTGTTTGTTCATCTCCTCCTTTAGACCAGGAGTTCCTGTCTTAGTTGTCTTTCCTGGCACCAGGAAAAGTGGCTGGCACTAGGGAAACATCCACTGGATGGGTGAGTAAATGAACAAAGTGTACCATGAACTGTGGTCTAACCAGCAGGTCCCAGAACTAATTTTTTTTTTTCTTTCCCTTTATGGGGTGGGAAATGAGCAGGGAGCCTTTCAAAACATTTCCCAATATTATGTGAAACTACTGGAGCTGATGGAGTTGCACCTTTCTTTAATGATTGCAAGAGGAATTTAGATTAGACATTCAAGGCTGGTCCTTGTGTTGGTTGTAAGACACTGCCTTATGAGGAAGGAGTAGAAAGCAATGTATCTGGCAATTTTTAAGTCTGAGGTGACTAATACTTCGGAGTTAATTTTTTGATAGGAAGTGGCACCTTCAGGGCTCTTCCAAGACTCTGATTCTGTAACTTCAAGTCCATGACCTACAGGTAAAGGCAGTGGGTGGAGAGGAGAACAGGAGACTGTTGCAACCAATCATGCATTGTGTTCTGTGCTTAAGTCTCCAAAAAGTAAATATTTTTTAGGTTTAAAATTATTGCATATACTGTTATATATGCTGGAGAGCCTGAGAAAAAAAGAGGAACACAGTAAAGTAAATAAATAAATAAATAAATATTTAAATAAATATTTAAATAAATATTTAAATAAATATTTAAAAATATTTAAAATATATATATATATATATATATATATATATATATATATATATATGATGGAGGGGTAACAGAAGAAAATAAAAAGGATTCAGTCTCACTTGCAAATTCCTGAAAGGGAAAATGTATCAGAATTTCCAATTCTCAAGACATTGGGCCTAAAAGTCTTGGGAACAAGAAGGGAGGGGGGAAAGCAGGGGGGAGTGGGGAACTCGCTCTTGGCAGCAGGAAATCTTCAATGGCTATCGAGTTATGAAGAAATAACTCTGAACAGAAGTCCTTATCCGGAGTGCTAAACTCGCTTTTACCACATAAAGAGCAATATAAAAGCTTGGAGCAGCCTCAACATGGTGTTGGAGAAAATACTTGGCGTCCCCATGTTAGAAAGCAAGAGAGAGCTCCGACCGGGTTGTTGCCCAGACCCGCGTTAGGGCTTTTATTTGCAAGTCAGTGAGCCAAACAGACGACCAGGCTGCTTGTGCCTCGTTGTGGGAAGCACGGTTATTATTATCGCCTATTGCCCCACTGAACAATTTCACTGGAAAGGAAGAGTCCCAGCAGTGTGTGCGCGCGGTGCCATACGGGACGTGCAGCTACGTGTCCACCTCCAGAACGACTTTATTTACAAAGCGATTACCATGTTATCTATTTGTTTTCCTTTTCCAGCAACAGCAGCCTTACTCAGCCCTCGAATTTCTTAATTACAAACCCGTTCGCTTCTAAATCAACCCCAAACCGTCAGGCAGAGCCCGGAGTGAGGCTGTGCAAGTTTGCACACACACACACACCCTCCCGGATCAAGGGCAACAGCAGAAGCAAGAAACTGTGTATGTGCAAAAAGGTGGATCTGGGGACGAGGATCGCTGAGTTTGTTTACAGAGCAGAGACGCCTCAGCTCGGATGCCAAAGCTACCAAGGGCTGCAAAGCAAACTTAGCTGAAGCACACGTACCCCGGGAGCGGCGGGTGGGCCCGAAAGCGCGGACCGGACTTTCAATCGCGAGCGTGGAGGCGGCCGGATCCGTGAGCGCGCTCGGTCCACCTGCAGCCGCTGCCGCTCCCCACCCCCAGTTCTTGTGCTTGTTAGGAGTGGGGGGGAAATGCATCTACAGCAGAATATCTAGATCAGTTTACCTACTGCCCCCACAAAAAAACACAAAGGCACAGCCCAGGAACGCGCGCTCGGGGGAGGAGGCATTATTTGTCCGGGGCTTTAAAACCCCACTCAGGACAACACAGCCATTCTTCTCAGCCCAGGGAAGCTTTTGCAAAACCGGAGAGGCAGAAGAGACTGTGGAGGGCGGGGGCGCCGAGCGAACCCCCTTTTCCCACAGAAGGCAGCCCAGATCGCTAGGTGAGCCGGGTGGAAGAGGTGGGAATGGGGCATCCGGCCGTACGGGGGGCGGTGAGTTTTCCTCGCTCCTCTCTGGGAAGGCACTACCTGCGGGCTAGGAGTCCAAGGAGCATTTTCCCCATGCCCCCGGGGTGACGGGGCCGCCCCCACATTTGCGGACTGGGAGGAAACCAGAGTTGGGGGGCAGCGGGGCGGCGCCCTGGCCGGCTGCAGCCTCTGCGCACGTGCCACTGACCGCGGGGACGCAGCTACGCGACCCGGTTCGGTGTGCCTGGAGCTCCAGAATCCGCTTTTTCCCGCCGCCCGTCCGGGAGGCTCTCGCTCCGCCCTTCCTGAAATCCCTTATATTAACTGTGGCCAAAGCCCTAAGAAACACAGCTCATTGTTGGCAGTTGCCGGGCGGTCTTGCTGAGCTGTGAGGGCAGCGGAGGGAAAATAAAAGGGAACGGCTCCGATTCAGCCCCTGCGGCCGCTGCAAGACCTCGGCGCCGACAACGCGACAGCGAGCGCCCTGCACGCCTGGAAGGCCCCCTCTATGTGCTGCTGAGCCGGTCCTGGACCCGACGATCCCGCCCTCGGTCTTCGGAGCAGAAATCGCTAAGACGGAAGGTAAGCGCGCCGGGCGAAGCTGGCTGGGGCTCCTGCCAGCCCCGTCCTCCGAGGGCTGGGTTTGCCCGGAGGAAGAGCGTGAGGCGGAGCTGGGGAATAACAACAGGATGTGCAACAACAGGATGAGGAGGGCTGATTTAATGCCTGAAGTTCGCGGCAGGGCTACGGGGCACTTCCTTTATTAGGCGACTTCGGGGAGCGGAGGGGGGTGTGGGTTCGGGTCCTCCCGCCCGATCGCCGGGGAACGGGCTGTTTGTGCAGCACCCGGCTCTGTGTTGTGGGTGGCGAGTCCGGGCGTACTAGCTAGTAGTAGGATCCTGGGGATGGTGATTCGCAGCCGACGTGCGCCCGGGGATCTTGGGGGGCAGTGGCAAGAAAAAGTGGGGTGCGCTGTGGTGGGCGACACGTGTGGCGCGGGTCTTATCGTCTGCCTTTTTCACTTGTAGGACTGGAAATGGCAGACCATATGATGGCCATGAACCACGGGCGCTTCCCCGACGGCACCAACGGGCTGCACCACCACCCTGCCCACCGCATGGGCATGGGGCAGTTCCCGAGCCCCCATCACCACCAGCAGCAGCAGCAGCCCCAGCACGCCTTCAACGCCCTGATGGGCGAGCATATACACTACGGCGCGGGCAACATGAATACCACGAGCGGCATCAGGCACGCGATGGGGCCGGGGACTGTGAACGGAGGGCACCCCCCGAGTGCGCTGGCCCCCGCGGCTAGGTTTAACAACTCCCAGTTCATGGGCCCCCCGGTGGCTAGCCAGGGAGGCTCCCTGCCGGCCAGCATGCAGCTGCAGAAGCTCAACAACCAGTATTTCAACCATCACCCCTACCCCCACAACCACTACATGCCGGATTTGCACTCTGCTGCAGGCCACCAGATGAACGGGACAAACCAGCACTTCCGAGATTGCAACCCCAAACACAGCGGCGGCAGCAGCACCCCTGGCGCCTCCAGTGGCAGCAGCACCCCCGGCGCCTCCGGCGGCACCTCGGGCGGCGGCGCGGGCAGCAGCAATAGCGGCGGCGGTAGCGGCGGCGGCAGCAGCAACATGCCCGCCTCTGTGGCCCACGTCCCTGCTGCAATGCTGCCGCCCAATGTCATAGACACTGATTTCATTGACGAGGAAGTGCTTATGTCCTTAGTGATAGAAATGGGTTTGGACCGCATCAAGGAGCTGCCTGAACTCTGGCTGGGGCAAAACGAGTTTGATTTCATGACGGACTTCGTGTGCAAACAGCAGCCCAGCAGAGTAAGCTGTTGACTCGATCGAAATCCCGGCGAAAGAAATCAAACCCTCCAACTTCTTCGTTGTGAATTAAAAAACATTCCCTTAGACACAGTATCTCACTTTTCAAATCTTGAAAGGTTTGAGAACTTGGAAACAAAGTAAACTATAAACTTGTACAAATTGGTTTAAAAAATTGCTGCCACTTTTTTTTTTTCCTGTTTTTGTTTCGTTTTTGTAGCCTTGACATTCACCTCCCTTATGTAGTTGAAATATCTAGCTAATTTGGTCTTTTTTGTTGTTTGTTTTTACTCCTTATTTCCTCACTTTCTCCAGTGCTCAACTGTTAGATATTAATCTTGGCAAACTGCTTAATCTTGTGGATTTTGTAGATGGTTTCAAATGACTGAATTGCATTCAAATTTATGAGTGAAAGGAAAAATTGCATTAGTTGGTTGCATGAACTTTGAAGGGCAGATGCACAAACTCTGCCATCTCGCTTCATTTTTTTTAACTATGCATTTGAGTACAGACTAATTTTTAAAATATGCTAAACTGGAAGATTAAACAGCTGTGGGCCAAGCCGTTCTGGATCAGGAAAAGTCATACTGTTCACTTTCAAGTTGGCTGTCCCCCTCCCCCGTATGTACAGACAATAATAGGGTGTGGAATGTCGTCAGTGGCAAACATTTCACAGATTTTTATTTTGTTTCTGTCTTCAACATTTTGACACTGTGCTAATAGTTATATTCAGTACATGAAAAGATACTACTGTGTTGAAAGCTTTTTAGGAAATTTTGACAGTATTTTTGTACAAAACATTTTTTTGAAAAAATACTTGTTAATTTATTCTATTTTAATTTGCCAATGTCAATAAAAAGTTAAGAAATACTTGTTTTCCAGAAGTCATTTGGGGGGTGGCTGTTCCCTTTGGTGGCTTTCTTTTTCTCCTCTGTAAGTTGAACACTTTATTGATGAGAGTAAGCATTCCAAAGGGTAAATTAGAGGACACTAAAACAGGTCATGGTGAGCTTAAGCGGAGAGCAGGATTTAACATAATTGGCATAATGCTTCATTGTTATCATTGTAACATGCCTCTTGGTGTGGTTTAATCAAAAGCTGCAAAGTTGTCAAAGAGCATTTTCTTCCCTTAATTGCCATCATATTCAAGTATACCCCAGAGTTAGAAAGGTTTATAATACAAAATACTACAGATATTTTTTCATAGTGTGGAAGGGGGAAAATTAAATGTATTTCTGTCTATACCTGATTCAACTACTTCAATGAGGTAGATGGGAATAATATTCCGGGAGATTGATGAGGACGGCATTACATAGAAATCCATCTTTATCGCTAGTGATGAATCTTATTTCTCAGTGAAAGTGCTAAGGAGAGGCATGCACATTGCTAGCTTGGTGTCTGAAATAGCTTCTAACTGGCTTCTAGTTCTAAGAGGAAGAGGGGGCAGAATTTGCACCTTGAGGCTTTCTGTTTTGTTCTCCTTACAATATTTAAAATATACTCAGGTTGAGTCAAAGGTCAAATTACAGTCATTACAAGATGTTCCTTCTGAAGCATGCCCTGACTTCCAGAATACTGAACCTTTTCTGTTACAGGCATTGGGTGCAAAGGACATAAGGATAAGATCCTTTTAATTTTCCCTAAATGGGTTATCAAGAAGACACAACTACAGTTAAGTAGGTGTCAAGCTTTACCCTATATAATCAAATGAAAAAGTAATATTGTTAAAATCTCAAATTATCCCTGTTGGAAGAAGGAATTTTTTGTTTTCCCATCCATGTTTTCCCAGCTTATAAGAGCAACACACCTACATTAAAAATACACACACACACACACACACACACACACACACACACAGTTTTTTGTATTTAACCTACTGGAGGAGTAAAGAAATGGAAGGAGTAGATGGAAGAAAATGTCACTACTTTAAAAGGGCATTTCATTTAGACAGATTACGATCTTCAAGCTCATATTTTATAATTAAAAATTGAGGAGAGGAGGGTATATAAACATATTAAGAATGTCTTGCGTAAAGACTGACTTCAGTATGATCTAGATCACCTACATTCTATAATTCTATAGCCAAGGCAGGCCATTAAAATTAAGATGCACACGCCACTGGATTTTTTTATACTCCTATAATTGACACTTCTATTAAAAATTATGTTCTAAATAAGTAATTTCTGTGAAAATACACTGTCATTGAAAACTCTTTCCACCCCACTTTAGAAGCTGATCCAGATTTCCCCCGTTAATAGTTAAAGCTGAAGTTTTCTTCAGCTAAGACGTGTCAATACTGAATCTACAATCAGCAGTAAATCTTCCTGGCTAAGCATTTCCACAGTAAGTTTTTCTTTTTATTCCACAGGCTCACGTGAAAAAAAATATGTTTGCATACATATTAATTCAGCAATTCTAGTTATTTTTTTTTTTACTTGTGCCAGGAAGAAAAGGAAAGCTATTGGAGGCATTATTCTTTTGCATAAAGAAAGAAGCAAAAGAATTGTCTGGCCACCACCCTTCACCATTTATTCTGCCAGGGAATAAGCCACAACACCTGCTCTGTCCCTAAATTCCTCCTGCTGCTCTAACCCGAACACGTATGTGAAGATGCGGAGCCCAAGGAACTATTATTAGATCCTGAGCCCATCTCTGCCAGAACAGAGGACTCAAACAGAGGAGCTGGGTTAAAAGCATAATTTCTCTTCAATACAAATACAACCCTCCCTCTCCCTCCCATTTACTTGAATGATCTCTATTTCATTAAAACTCTTTCTTGATCAACAATTGAGCAGATTCTATGTGATATATCTGCAGGTCTCTCAGGCAGAGAAAAATAACTCCTTGTTTGAACAACCTGATTAATGAAACCTGTACAGTGACCTAGATCACTGGGCTGCTGGCAGACATTTGCAAAACCTTTTGTGGTCTTGCTTCCTACTAAGTTACTTATAGCATATGGGGAAATTTGACCTCTGTACTTTGGTTGTTTTTCAAAAAGTTCTAATATAGTACAAGAGTGCTTCTGTTCTTTAAGCTGTGCCCACAAATAGACACCTCACGCTTGATTTTCAAGAAGAGATCAATGATAAGCAGCAGTACAACATCATAAAAACAAGTCAGAAAAATAAATGCACATTAATAAAAACGTGTACCTCTGCCTGGTGGCTGCTAAAATCCTGGTGGCAGTATCTTTGCTAGAGCTGATAAAGATGTTACAGCTATGGACGGCTCTTTGAAGAACAGTTACCTAATCACCTCTGTTTATGGGGTGCTAGGCTAGAGCACCAGTACCAGAAGGCTGACATCTATTGTGAAGTTTATGGTCTCCGTGACTTTTACTACTGTAAATGCCTGGGATAGCTATAAATTGATGTCAACATTAAAGGCCAGATCCTTTAGAGCAAAATATTAATCCACTAATCTATTATGGGTGGCTGGCTTTGAAATATAAACTTTGCAGTCCTGGACCATTAGGTGTTTTCGCCCCCTTGTGGAATTTATTTAGAAGGTCGAAGGAAAGCTGTTTGCTCTAGGGGGGTTGTTTTTCGTTTTATTGTTTGCTTGTTGTTTTATCATTTCTGAAGACATTTTCTTTCTGAACATGAACAGAGTATATTTGAGCAACAAATCTTTGATCAAAGAAAATTCCAAAATAAACACCCTTTATTAAAATAAGAGTATTTTACTTACCAAAAACCTTAACCTAGGATTAAATGTGCATAATTGAGATTTGCCTCATATTTTCAAATATACATTGGCTGAGGGTTTTCTTTTTAAAAGTATAATGGGCAGTGCTTTAGCCTGTCAGTTAAAGCTGACACTCTGCACTCTCACAACAGAACTGCTGATTTGGGCTAAGAGCAAATAATAATGTATTTGATGGCATGGAAGGTGGAGGGAAATCTGTAGGAATGCAGAAGGCAATTATCTGTTCTGGAATGTGACCAAGCCACAGGCTCTAATCTTGTGAAAAGGGCCACAGGATGTTTAATGAGAATGAGTGTTACTGTCTAATTGAGTCAGTAGAATTTACTTTAAAATAAACTTGGCAGATAACATTGTCTCCAAAAAATAAATAAATTTAGAATTCAAGGAATTTAGGACCCAAGCCACTGGCAACTTTCTCCTCTTCAACAGAACTGTTCTGCATCACAAAAGAGGTGTTACACACAGCCTCAGAGACGGTATTTATCATTTTGGTTCTGTACCACTATCATCAAAATCGGAGCTCCCAGGCAGGTTGAAGCGAGAGAACAATAGGTAGCACATCGAGTGACTTAGCCAATGAACCCCTATTATCCTGTGTTCTGTTTGTCTTTTCCCACCAGAACAGAAGGAACAATGGCAATGTCAGAATTTTAATTGCAATGGACTGGCTTAAATTACTTGACCTATTTTTATCCAGCAAGGAGAGAAATGAGTCTTTTTTTTTTTTCTGGTAGCCATACTTATAATTTACATTGGAAAGAGAAATATAAGGACAGAGAAATAGAAGGACATTTTCTACCCCCAAAAATATATTGTTCATAAATAACTTTAGTTTGCCTTATAATAAATAAGACCCATCTTTTAAAAAAAAAAAAAAATTATAAGCATCTTATATTTACCACTACGACCACCACCACCTCAAGAGTATTTAAACTCACATGTAATGTTAAATAGGGAACGAAAATATTCCAAGAGCTGCTGGTATAAATTTTATAGTATTTTGCTATTAATAAACACAATAAAAGAAAATCAAAGAGAAATAGGATTCTACTGTGTTGAGGAACCAAATTCATGATCCTTGGAAAAGAGACTATCAACCAACATGTTCCATACTTTCCATGGTCACATCATGGCCTTTTAGCGGCCGGTTCCTTGTCAGTTACTTCTTTCCCGAGACGAGCACTCAGACCCCGACGCAGGACATAGTCATGGTGCTGTTTGACAACTCGGCTTGGCTTCAGGACTGCAGAGTGAACTAAAGCAGATGAAAGATGGACGATGAGTATTACTATTTGCTTGAAATGTTATTGGTTTTCATTCGGCTGAACTGATTTGAAGGATTAGTGAGGCAGAGCACAATGGGGCGAGGACAGTTCACCGGATTCTTGCAACTTTCCCACCGCGTCGCCGTGGTGCTGAGCCCCGAGGTCCTTCCGTCCTCCCCCTCCGGCGGATGGTCCCCTGATTACAATCCGGGGTGCGAACGACCAGAGCAGGGATCCGCCCCCTCAGGAGCCTGCCACGAGGCCAGCAGCGCGGCAGGACAGAGGCACACAGGCGAGTGGCTTTGGGACAGTGACGAGTGCGAGAGGAACCAGCAGTTCATCCTTGACATCCGCGTGGGAGCGAGACTGAGGCCTGAGTGGAAGTCAAACGAGCATAAAGTCAGAAGAAGTGATCAGAGGACAACCACCTTCGGGGGTGATAGCCTTTTATGAACACTTGTCGGGGCAACAGGCGAGAGCGGAGGAGATGCGACTGGGGTTATCCAAGCCTCTTCTCTTCGTGTCCCCCCAGAGACTGACGGAAACTGTGGCCTTGTGACGTCTGTAGGTAGCTCGGCCACAGAGCCTTTTCGGGTAATCCATCTTGTGTTGGTTTCATGGCGTTGGTGTCTCTATTCTGACAAACACAGAGTACTTCATTTAAATTGCCCCATTACTTTTATTTTGGAGGCGGAGAAGCAGGATGATGTAGTTCATATTTCTTCTTTTCCACCCAATGTGTTCAGCAAATATATGGCCATGGGGCCAGTCGGTGAAAACTGATTGAACTGCCTTGGTCCTACTATGAACCTAACATGAATATCTAAATATTCGTGGATCCCTGTCTGACACCATGTCTAAGATAAATGATTCTCAGCTAGGGGGCGCCACCCTCTACAAGGCAGATCAGAATGGGAAAGAGTAGAAAAAGCTAGTATGAAAAAAAAAATCTATTCTACACTATCATATATTTGGGGAAATGTTTAAATTTGTATTATTTCAGTATAACATAATGTAGAAGACTTAAAAATCGTTTTGATTAATGAGGCATAGATTTTTAAACGGTGAGAAGCACTGTTTAGACTAACAGGACGGAATCAGAGTGATTTACCCTTCGGCCAGCAGGACTTCACACATCATTTTGCTGACTTGTTTCCCGTGGCTGCGCTTATTTTGCTGATCACCTACTATGTGACAGGCACTGTGGTAGGCACTTTACATACATAATCACATTTAATCTTCACAACATCTCTGCAAGTTACATATCAATATTCCAATTTTAGGTAAGGAAACATTTAGAGAGGAAGTAAATTGCTCACAGCACAGCTACTAGGGGCTGAGTGGTTGGTTCCCCAGACCTAGCTTCTAAGACAGTGTTCTTTCTAATACATAACACCGCTGTTTTAAATCAAATTAGTCCTAATTGTAGATGTCTCTGATTATAAGATGATCAATTTAATAAGGTTGCTTCAGGAAAAAAATCCACCACATTATATGTATACAAATTCTAAAGTATACTAATGCAAATACAGTATTTATCTTCTCATATAATTACATACCACTTCCTTTTTGGACTCATAAGACTTGGGCCTACATTTTTTCTTTCTCTTTTTTTTGTTACCCTCACCCGAGGACATTTTTGCATTTATCTTAAAGATAGAGTGGGAGGGAGAAAGGGGGGAAGAGAGAGAGAAACATCAATGTGAGAGAGACACATTGAGTGGTGGCCACCCACACGACCCCAACCGGAGTGGGGACAAACTGCTGCCGAGATACGTGCCCTTAGCAGGAAGCAAACCTGGGCCTCTCTGGTCTGCAGGCTGATGTTCTAACTGCTGAGCCAAACCGGTCAGGGCAGGTCTGCATTTTTTTCAAACCTATTTTAAAATTCTTTCAAATCTAGTTTGGCCCCTGATAGTGCGGGAGCATCACGGGTTGTGAGCCTGTCTAACCTCTTAACACCTGCACCCTGTTTTTGTTTTGTTTTTTAATCCTCACCCTAGGACATTGTTCCATTTTTTGTTCAGATAGAGTGGGAGGGGGAGAGAGAGAGAGAAACATCCACGTGAAAGGGACACATTGAGTGGCTGCCCCCGCACGACCAACCAGGGCCAGGGACAAACTGCAACCGAGGTTCATGCCCTTAGTGGGAACCAAACCCAGGTCTCTCTGGACCGCAGGCCAACGCTCTAACCACTGAGCCAAACCGGCCAGGGCACACTTGCACCCTGATAATACTTCAGGTCAAATAAAAGAATATCAGTGATTTAAATGGTAACTTTGGGTGTTATTACTTCCCCTTAATTGGATTACATATTGCTGGGTAATTAATAGTTTTTTTCAGGAATGAAGTCAGTGCCTTAGCTTTGTTAATTCTATAATCTAGTAAATTAGAACATCAGTAGCTAAATTCTCCCATGAAAAGATAACCATGTCCCAACTTGATACACTGCCTGGAAGCAACTATGATTATAAGATTCAGGCTGATTTCAGAATATTAATATGAGAAAAAATGTGTACATCATAGAATAAAGGAAATATAGTATTTAGTTACTTTACACTTAATCTCCCTGATGTAGGTGTAAGCGCACATACTCTAGTGTTGGTCTTCTACCAAAATGGAGAATTCTTCCATTAAAAGTTGCAGTAAAAAGAATATAGATCAGGAGTAATAACCATGGGTTGCAGCCGTAGCTCTGCAACCAAATAGCTGGGTAATTTAATCACTGTTGGCTCATGTTTCTCCATCAGCAAAATGAAGATGTATGTTTAATTAATTATGTATTCAAATTCTCATGAAGAAAACATAAACCCATTCCTATTATTTTCTTCCTCTGGAAAGTTGGAGTACACTGTCATAAAACTTCAAAACCTGTACATCATTTCTTGCCATTTTTTTCCAAGCTAACTGTGATCTGGAGATGAGCCCTAGACCTGACCCAGCCAAGTCAGCTCTCCGAGGGTGGAGTCATCTCTGTAAACTTTCCCCTTCATTGCCATAATGACCATTAGTGTCGGCTACTGAGATTTCTCAATCTGTAACCAAAAATTACCCCTCACAAAATATTTCTTCTACATGTGATTTTCAAAAATTCGGGAGACTAGTTAACGTTCTTTGCTGATGCAGTGGTGTGTGTGTGTATATATATATATTACCTATTGAAAATAATTTGATCAGTTCTTCCTTTCAGGTTTTGCTTTATTTCTTAAAAATTAATTTCATTTTTCCAGCTTCATACATATCAGGCACTCAATAAATATTTGGGATCTCTTTTCTGTAGACATCTCTTCCTGGGCCACAATCATAATTATCATCACCATCACCATCATCACTATTATTATTTTCTCAAAGAGACAATCCTATATATAATACTGAAGTAGGGGACACTAGCAGGTGTTAATCACTGTAAGTTGGTGCTTCAGAGTTGTCAAGCAGGTAAGAGGCACAAGTCTATGTCCGTTTATTTCTCTTTTCCCAACACACACATTTTTTGTTTTACACTACCACATCCTTCCGGTTTGGGTATCCATGATTTAGCTAGATGAAAAACTAACAGATTAGCTGAAAATAGTTATATAGAGGGAACGGTATATCATAATACACAACTACCCAAGAAATAATATTGATTGACATGTAAAAGTAATATAGCTAAAGAATCATGATAAAATATTATTACAATAAAATGTTCCTTCTACTACTTGGCCACCAGGTGGAGCTAAAGTTCTGTAAGTGTGTATTTACGCGCGGTAACCTGGAAGACTAGATTGTTACAGGCTTAAAGAACTTGCCCCCCACCCCTGCCCCTGCAATTTGTTTTATTGAAACATAAAATACCCACTGTGACCTATTATAACTTCTTAAATTGAAGATAAGCCAAGAACACCTTAACAGGCTCTGTCAAGGCACCATCACTCCCTATACCCTAAGAAAAATAAGAAATTGACAAAAGGTATCTTTGAGCAACTCTCCATTATTTTTTTCCCTTCCCTTTTTGAAGTGCACTCATCTTGTCTTCCATTCACTCAGATGCCATTGGCTCAATTTTCTGTCTTCCTGGGGACATTTATATCTTTTTAAAAAAAATTGATTGAGAGAGAGATGTTAGAGAAAAACATCAATTGGTTGCCTCCTGCACGTGCCCCAACTGGGGATTGAACCCACAACCTGGGTATGGGTACATGCCCTGCTGGGGAACTGAACCTGCCCACCTTTTGTGCACAGGATGATGCTCCAACCCACTGAGCAACACAGCCAGGGCGGGGACATTTATATCTTAAGAAAGAAATTCTAAAGAGTGCAACATTTAAACTAAAGAAATAAGTTTTGAATAGTAAATTTTGTGAATCAATGAGAAAGAGATTTGAAGGTACTAGGTTCCTCTACCTTTTCTGATCCTTAAATCATTCATCTGTCCTGTTTTTCTACCTGTCAAGCCAATCCAATTCGATATTTTGTGCTGTTCTTTGCTCTTACTTTAAATACTGGTGTCCATCAGACCTCTTACCTCATCTCGCTAGTCAGTTCCATAAATTTCTAAGGGTTCTGATACAGTGTCGATACTAAGACTTTCAAAGCCCCATTTCCAGCCCCAAGGTCTGTCTGTCAGTGAATGTGCGTGCACACACACACACAATGACTTCTGATAAGCATTTAAGCATACCATTTCTGAGCCTGCATTCTGTCCCCTCTCCCTTGCCCACTGTATTCCTAGTCCTGGCTAATAGAACTACTATTTATCTAGACATTCAAGCCAGAAGTCCAAAAATTTTCTACATTTATTCCTTCTTATTTACCAATCTAATTGGTCCATACATTCAATAATTGACCTTGCTTTTGCTGTCTCTCTTGCCTCAAATGTGTTTTCCATCCCAAACCTCTCTCAGGTCTTTGTCAGAATTTGCTTCTTCAATGCCCACAGTAATTAAAACGGAAAGTCACTTCTTGATTTTCCCTGTAGCATTCCTGTCTCTTTAATCCTACTCAATTTTTTATTCAGAGCCCAAAGGTGGTTTTCAAATGTGCCTGTAGAGCCTTAGACACTCATCCCACCAAAAGGTGGCATCTAGGTCTCTTCCCTAAATCTGTTGCAAAAGTTTGGAGGCTGAGTCTGGAAAGACCATGTAGCTTCCTCCTGGTTTTCTTGGGACGCTTGTCTTTGGAGCCCTGAGGTGCAATATAAGAAGCCCAACCACCCTGAGGCTGCCATGCTGTAAGGAAGCCAAGCCACATGGAAAGGCCATGGTAGATACTTCCAATAACAGCACCGGCTGATGCTCCCAGTTGACAGACAGTAACAATCTTCAGTGTGAGTGTGACAGTGGGGAATTGTAACCAATGCTATCATTCATTTGACCTTGTTTCTGTAAATGCTGATTCTGACTAATATGTACCTTACAGATAAACAGCATGTTTGTATAAGTATCCTAGGAACTAACTTCAGAAGATGCCAACTCTGATTATCAGTCATCCCAGTTCTGGGAGAGGAGATTTGCTAACCTTCAATGATGTAGAACCAGGACGATGAAGAACAGGATGATACATACCAGACCATCACTTGACCAGTTTTAAGGTACTTATCAGAATGGACTGTGCTAGTCTGCATGTAGAAAAAATTTCAACCCCCTACTCTTGATTTCTTTATTCTGCTTTTCCTCTTTTTTTTTTTTTTCACTTTTCCAACAAGTATTTATTAGTTAAGCCATAATTCAGGATCCTAGGGTGGGATGTACCCAGGCCCCCCTTCACCTCCCTGGGAGAAGGATGGAGGACAGAGGACAGGTGAGGTGCAGCCAGCTCAGATCTTCCCAGGAAATATGCCTTCTGCCCGGCGGTCATCCCATGCCGACACCCAGGATATAGGGCAAAGGGATTTGTACACACGCCGGTACCATTCGCACACAGAGACATCACCCCCTTTAGCAGTCATCATTTGCACACAGAGACATCACCCCCTTTAGCAGTCACTGCCTTATCACAGTGGTGGAAGTCCAGGTAATTCTGCCAACAGTTCCTGGTCTGGTTCTGGTTGGGGAAACGGCTGTCAAAAGCAGTCCGGTAGTTCTTCATTTTGGTCTTGATGTCTTCTGCCTTGTTGCTGACTCCTAAAGATGCCCCTGAAGCGGCTGGCAGTTCAATGTGACCCTCAGCAAAGACCCTGCTTTTCCTCTTCCTTCTTATAAAAACCTCTGTCTGAACTGAGATGGAGAGATGGGGTTTGTGACAAGAGTCCCCATCTTCTCAGGTGACCAGCACTTGAATAAACCTCTTTCCTTTTTCACCAGCACCTATCTTATGAGTTTGGCTTTCATGGCAGCTGCACAGACAACTGAACCAAGATTTCAGTTACATAAGTAAATAGGCCTCCATGTGCTTTCAGTCTCCAGGTATTGAGTTTTCCTTAGCTGTTGAGTCTTTTCAGTTGAGGCCCCAGAGCTTAGACAGAATGGAGCAAAGAAAAACCAAGGTTCTGGTACCCTTCCTGAATTCCTGTCCCATAGCAATTTGTCAGCATTATAAAGGTAAGTTTTGGGGTGATTTGATAAATAGTTAATGTAACTTAATGGCACTTTCACCATCTTGCACAATACACGTTTTACTCAGTCAAGTTATTTCTGATTTCTGTGCCTGCTTTAAACTATATGCTCCACAAGGATACAAATGTTTGTCTACTTTATTTATTGTACTTAGAAGAATACTGATACATGGTAGGTGTTCAATAAACATTTATTGAATAAATGAATGAGTCATTGAGCGAATACATTAATTTCACCATTGTCTCATTCTCCTTTCCAACCCCCTCCTACTTTCTTAGTTCAGATACTATCTCATACCTAGACTGCAATAACTGCCTATCTGGTTTCACTTCCTCCTGTTTTATCCCCTACCATCCATGCTTCATGCTTCAGGAAGAGTTATTCCAAAATGTAGATTTGATCCTATTGCTCAAGCCAACTGAAATGCTTAATCTAGGTAGTCATGTTTATACATTAATGACCTTGTCTCCCACTGACACAATGGATTAAACCATGGGCAAGTAGCTGTCTAAAGGCTAGCACATCAGCTGGCCAGGAAAATTCTAACCAAGAGACAGAGAAATTATAGTCAAACCACAGTGGTGCTTAAACTGAAATTATCTTGAGCTGAGCCCAGCAAGTCTTTTGGGGCCATACACTTATACTGAGGAAGTAGCTTGCACAAGTCAACAGGAGGTCAGAACAACACCCGCTCAGAACAAAGCAATACTAAGAAACCAAATGGCCCCAAATGCTGATGGAAAGAGAAGACACAGCTCTCCTTGATAGCTTTCCAATTCCCCAATTAAGTACCCATTGTACTCAGCCATGTTTGGTTCCTGTCACATATCCCCAGACTTTTCTTTATTTGCTCTAATTTGAGTGGTGTTGAGAAGAATACCTATTTTATTACTCTATGATCTTGCATATGTTGTTCCCTCTGCTTGTAAGGCCCTCCTCATCTTCATCCCCTGGTTGAAGTGTCCTTCAAAGTCTATCTCAAAAGTGTTCTTCTCGGAGAGACCTTTTCATATCACTTCCTGCTTTGTGGCAACTCTATATACTATAGATATTTCTATTTATTTGTGTATTTGTCACACAGTGCTGCAATTGTTTAGTAATCAGCTCCTCTTTTATACTTTGTGATTATGTCTATTAAGACATTTGTAGCTACAAGTAACAGAAGACCTGATTTTGGCTTAAACCATAAGGAGATAAATTATCCATCCTAAATCAATGGAAGGGAGGGCTCGGAGGCTGGTTAATTTGCTAATTAATAATGTCAATAGGGACTCAGGCTCTTATTGCTCTTCTGAGCTGCCCTCAGTGTTTGCCTTACCTTAGACTGGTGACTGATGGCATTAGCAGAGCTTACGGGACATATGGACTCAACACTGTCCAGAAGGAAGGCTTGTGGCTTCTTTGTTTAAGGGGAATAAAAACTTTTCACAGAAGCACTCCTTCCCTCATATATTATGTTCCATACCCCTTTCTGAACCAACCACTGACATTGGCTTTACCATGGGATAGAATTAACACAACTGACTTAAACTAATCATCTTAGGCTGGACTAGGTAGATATTGGACCAGCAGCTCCATCACTAGAAGAGTTAAAAAGCTTAGCTGACTCTAAAATTTTTGTTTCGAGGTATATATTTTTTCCTAGAACTGAAACAGACTATTTTTATTTTCTTAATTTTTTTTTAATCCTCACCCAAGAACATTTTTGCATTTATCTTCAGACAGAACGGGAGGGAGAAAGGGAGGAATAGAGAGAGAGAAACATCGACGCAAGAGAGATACACCGAGTGGCCACCACCCACGCAACCCCAACCGGGGCCAGGGACAAACTGCAACTGAGGTATGTGCCCCTAGCGGGAACCAAACCCGGGACTCCCTGGTCCACGGGCCGATGCTCTAACCGCTGAGCCAAACTGGCCAGGGCTGAAACAGACTATTTCTAAAGTTTTTATATTTTCAAATGTCTTTATATAATAAAGATGTATAGCCAACAAAATTATGTTATAAATCACTCAGAGCAGGTTTATTTGAGAAAGGTTAAAACGTCTTCTATAAAGTGACATTTGCTAATATAAATAAATATCTTCTTTAAAAGTATATAATCATTATGCCTTCATTTCTAGCCCTTCAAAAATTCCCTTGTTAATATGATTAATAAACAATTTTTCTGAACCAAGAAAATCATGTACTTGTTGGCAGGTGATTAATCTCAGTGCAAAATGAACTGAACCTAATATTTATGAACAAATTACTGATAGCTATAGGGTTTATTTCTATGATAAAATGCACTGGTCCATATGCTGACGCCAAAAATGAATATAAAATTTGTCTCATAAGACTAAATCAGGGGAAATAAGGGAAATTTAATGTATGTTATTTTTTGTTCTAGCCACTCATTGTTTTTCTACTTTTCCAAAAAAATGTTCCTTTCGCCATTCCAGTCATGTATCCAAGTAAGAACCCCCATCATCTTGCTTGACAACAGTAATTGATTAGGGCTTCCCAGATAGACTCAGCTGAACTAATCATCATATCTCATCTGCAGCGGACTGGGCCAATGAATACCACCTGACCTAATGATAAACCTTTCCTGGGGATATTTTCCCTTGACAATCAAGTTTTAATCCCTCTCTAGCGATGAAACTATGAGCTTGAAAACTGCTGGTAGCCATCTGCGTGAAAGAAGCGGGTCTGAGAAGAGAAAGGCAGTAAGAACAGAAGAGCAGAGACAAAAACCGCCATCTCCCACCATCTGAGTCCCTGAGGTCTAGTCGCAGTTTTGCCTTTCATAAAATGTGGTTGCACGAGACAATTAAACTTCCTGTTCCTGAACTAATTTGAGTTAATAGCAATCATGTGAAACAAAACTATCCTGATCAAGACATAGTAACACAAATTTCATCTTTTTTTATTTTTACCATTTCATTGAAATACATGGTTGAGGAAAACTCTGATTTTATGCCTACACTAGTGAGCAACTTACAAATGATCTTTTCCATGAACAATATGAGGCATATGAAGTGTCGGTATTGGAATTCCCCTTTTCCCTCCTCGGGTAATTATAATAAGCAATGGACTCTGCGATTCCCCTTCAGGACCAGAGCTTATTCTCTCAACGGCTGGGAATGCTGCCCGAAGACAGTCCAAGCTGACATCGCTCTTTCAGAGTTGCCTTATCACCTTGTCCAAGGTCACATTCTTTCTCCCAAGTCATCTGCCTCCAGTGGCTGGTCAACGTCTGCGAGAAAGACCTGGCGCCCTCAGCCCAACGCAGGACACTCTGAGAGGCCGTCCTGGCCTCAGCGTTTCCCGTAAGGCGGACTGAGGACTTGGTCCAGGCTGTCACCGCCCACCTTCTTCTGCCCCACCCTGTCCCTCCCCCTTTCCTCCGTAGGCAGTGCTCCCAACAGCACCCCCCAGTCAGCTCCCCGAATGCCAATCTCCATCTCTGAGGCCGCCTCCCAAGAAACTCAACCTCAACACTTTTCAAAATCATCAAACCATAAAATGTTATTGGCCCTTTAAGAAAAATTCAATAATTATTTAATGGCTCCTTAAATTGTCCTGGCACACTGATAAGTATTATAACAGAGGACAAAATAAAAGTATAAGACATATCCCCTTCCCGTAAGGAGCTCATGGTCTCACTGGAGACATCAACCTGAGGCAGTCATGTTCATATGGCTCATGCTCGACCGAAGAAGACGGAAAGGAAGCCAAAACTGGCACATAGGATATGATTCATAAATACTTATTGAGTGAATGAACGAGTGAGTGAATGGGTAGGAAGAAATATACGTGAGCTGGGGCAGGTCATAATATTTACTTGAGGCCAAACCACGTTATCACTACCACCTGTTTTTTTATTTATTAACCCACTTTACCATCTCCTAATTTTCATATCAAAATATAGACTAATCAACCAAAACAAAAATCTAAGCTACTACCAGGAACTCTGCTTTAGTTTGGGACAGTTCTTGGGAAAAGAGTTTGTTCCTTTCCCATGTGCCGGAGTTTAATCTCTCACACATCCTGAATGGCTCGTACGGACTGACCACATTCCCACCTCACAAGAAATCTATGGAGAAAGAGGGCCGGGAGTTACTAATGATCACACCAACGCTGACGATATCTTGCATCACGACAGTGTTTCAGGGACCTGAACCTTACCTCATTTCATCTTTACACCACCCTGAGAGGTAGGAAGGGTAAATATCATTGTATCCCCCTTTCACAGATGGAGAAACTGAGGTCCAGAGGTCCTACATGTTGGAGCTGCGATTTAAATGCAATCTGCCTGCTCCCATTGCAGCCTTACAAAGTCTTAGATTTTTCATAGAATATTCATGAGGCTATGTCTCTGAAGGCTGTCATTTGAGAGTTTTGGTTTATGTTAGCGATAAGAAAATTAAGATTTTTCGTTTTAGTACCCCAATTAATTTTGGACTCAGTGAACGTCAAGCTTAACCAAGCAGAATTTGTATTATTGCATATATCACTCAGAAAAAAATGCATTTGAATATAAGCCTTGAATTAAAAAAACAGAAAGAGGTTTGTCCAGTTTATTATATCCCTATTTGAACGAACAGATGTGTGTATTACATTCTAGATAATAAATATTTTAATTCCTATTTAGTATACTATTTACAATTAAACAGTTCCCTAAGAGATGAAAACTAGAGGTTTCTCTCAGAAACCTCTTTGCTTTTCCATTCAGCTCTGTTCTTAACTGAACACACTTATTTCGGATGTCTGGACGATTTTGTGTGGGGTGCAGGAGGTGGCAGGGGTGAAAACTGAGGGGAAAAGAAAACGTGCTGCCAGCTCCTGCAAGGCGCCTCCAACTCAGATCTGCTCGCGTTTCCTCCACGCGTTCAGCCCACACATGGCAAACATGCCAGCTCACTTTCTCTTCCCTTCGTAAGTGAGTTGAGATCACTATTTTGTAAGGATTACTTTGTAGGATGATTTGATTGCATATTCTCTTGTCTACTCTTATTTCCACCTATAACAACATCTCATTGATTCTCAGAAATAAGGTCTTACTCATCTTCATTCCATCTGTTCATATATATAATCTGCTTACACACACACACACGTGTGTGTATATAAAAATTAATTGTGCTAGTAGAACTAAAAATATTAATTTTCTTATCACTAACGTAAACCAAAACTCTCAAATGACAGCCTTCAGAGACATAGCCTCATGAATATTCTATGAAAAATCTAAGACTTTGTAAGACTTAAGAATTTGTACACACACACACACACACAGTTTCTAAAATCTAGCAGCCTCACTTAAGGACTGTATGACCTTGGCCAAGACAATTATGTCCTCACTGGTTCCAGCTCCCTCCT